TCCTCCTCCTCCTCCTCCTCCTCCTCCTCCTCCTCCTCCTCCTCCTCTTTGAAGGTCGAGTTGGGGCTTGGGCTGAAAAAATATTCCGATCCTTGGTTTGTGAGGGAATTGTGTGTCTCTTGGGTCCGAAGAAGCACAGGCAGAAAGTCCAGTCAGCTTCCTTGCTTTTATATGAAACCTAAAGCAAGGATGGAGCATGATGGCTCCGCAGTTAAAATGCTGAGCTTATCAGCTGGAAAACTGAGAGCCCAGGTTTGAGATCCGAGTGCCGTGCGACAGGGTGAGTTCCCCTTACTTGCTCCAGCTCCTACCCACCTAGCATGTAAATGCAAGCAGATAAATAGGTACCAGCAATCTGTGTGACTTGGTGAATAGTCATGCTGGCCACATGAACACAGAAGTGTCTTTGGATAATGCTGGCTCCCTCCGCTGAGAAACAGGGATGAATTGGATACGACTTGGTAGGGGAAAGTTTTATCTTTGCCTTTAAAGCACGCGCACAAATTGAGGATTGAGGATTGAGGAGGAACTGAACTGTTTCTTGGTTCCCCAAATTTGGGGTTTTAATAGTAGTTCTAATTAGCATCGGGAGGAACTTCAACTCCTGTGACATAGTTCAGGCTGGGAACTTCAGCAATCCAGCCCTAATGGCTAAATTCCACTTTCTATCTTGAATTTTTGAAGAATAAGGGGCAGAAAGGCCTAATTAGGAACCCATCTAGCACTTCTGAGTGCAAATCCCACCCTAAAGATCTCCAAAATTTACTAGCCAGTTGGAAGTATGTGCAAAACAGGAAGAGTAGGATTGTGATGACTCTGGGGTGTGGCACAAAGGCAACATCGTCAGATAATCAGTAGTAAGGAGTCCCTTTATTAGCTCCAACTTTGCCCCCAATGTCCTGATTATCTTCTGGGTTGGAGAAAAACTCCCAGGAACAGCCTTTGGCTGCAGAGATTCAAGTCCAAAACATCAACAGAAACTTTAACTATAAGTCCAATCAAGGCAAGATGAGGTAATTAGTCCAGCAGAGCAGGAGAAGGAATTCCAGACATGAAGGAACGGCAGTAATTCAACATGGTTGGGAAGATACCAGGAACGCAGATAAGCAAAGTCAATACAAGATAAACTTACATTTTCTCCCAGCAGCTGCCGCAAAATCAGCATTCAGTTATTATAAACTTTCATTCCCAGATGTGGCTAATGAAGGGAATCAGGGCTCCTTCCTCCCCCATAAGCCATGCAACCCATGTTGCTCCCTTCTCCGTTCCTCCCTGCATGCCCTGGGATGAAGAGGGGGTGGGCCTGGGTCTTTCTCTGAAACTCCCTCTCCCTTGTTCTACCTCTTCCCTGCTCTGCCCAGCCGGACTTTGACCTTCTCCAGTTTCCTCCACAGCCAACAGAGAGCCACACTCCGGCTCCCTGTCAGCTGTTCGTCTTTCTCCTCAGATTCAGACTCCGACAGGGGCATGACAGGGATTTCCCAAAACTTCCCATCCTGAGAACTGCAGGCTTCACACCTCCCTGCCTGACCGAACTGTTTAATGCAGCAACAAAAGCTATTACACAGTACTTATAGGGTGATATTAGGTGTCTTCGACTTTCATGTGAAAAGAAATAAAAATGTAGAGTTTCTGGCCTACCCTCGAAAGGAATTCTTACATAAAGCCTTCTGTTAAGAAAAAGTTGAACTCCCCTGGATTAAGAATCTAATTCTTGTTTAAAAGTGGAAGTGTGAATTATTCTTCGGTCATTATTTTTTTTCCCCTTCTTTCTCCTTTCCTGCAGAATTCTGGAGAGCCGAGGGAGGCATGGAGGGTTTCCTTGGCTTATGTGAAAAGTGTCCTGAGGAGGAACAGTTATGAGCAGCAGAGGAGAAATGTAAGCGTCTTCTGAGCACCCCACTTTGAAAGGAGGGAGGTGATGGAGGGTTCCCCTGTACACAGAAGCTCCAGTCTGGGTAGTTCTTGACTTATGACCACTAGCTTAGCGACTGTTGCAACTGATTGGGCTTATGCTCTGGGTCTGAAGTGATTGTTCTGACCTAGGCTTCACAAAATCACGAAGCAGATTCCTCGTCCGGACAAAACCCCCTTTTAATAGGCTAATGTGAATTCCTCTCATTCACATCCAGCAAAGTTTTGGCAAACAGTCTTTCAAGGGTGAATTCCAACCACAGACCTTATCAGGGCTGGAAAGCTGCCAGGCCGATAGCTTCCAAGCGCAATGCTGTAGCAGAAAATACTTGGCAAGGAGTCTCTGAGAGTCACAAACAAATCTTCACACTACTTAAACAAACTAATTGTCTCCTGCAAACACCACTCCCCTTTCACTCCTTTTTATTCCCTATGGGAAAGGCCATTTATGTGTGCTTTTACTCCCGAGTCAGCCCTTGTTCCTTAACTGTTCCCTTCTCCTGGCAGCTCTGCACATGCACACACTGGGAACAGGCTCCAGCTGTTCTTCTTCCCCACTGATCTCAGCCTCCAAAGGCAGTTGATAACTTTCAAATGACCCTGGCCCCATCTCTGCCTCTAATGCAGAGCCCTTGTCCGAGCCTTCCCCAGACTCCAAGACTGGCCCATGTTCCTCCCCAACCTCCTCACTGTCCGAGTCTGCTGCCAGCTCCGTTGACCGCTGGCAGGCCACAACAGTTATAACAGTTAATCACTCAGCCACATTTGTGGCTGTTTGCAATGTCCCATGGTTATGTGAGCACTTCTAGTTTTGGTAAAGCTACCGCTGGTTTATATAAGAACCACAGTATTTGCTTAAAAACTGCTGCTAGAAAAACTTCTTAAAATCATGTCTGTGGAGCACCTCAGTCATCCAGGTTATGGTTGTCCCAAAGCTGCTTCTTTTTCAAGAGGCAACTAGACTTTCTGGGTTTTTTTCCTTGAAGATGTTTCGCTTCTCATCCAAGAAGCTTCTTCAGCTCTGACAGGACGGTGGGGAATGGAAGGATTCATACTCCTTGAGACAGCTGGTCATTTGCATCCTTTTACCGAGTCATTGAGGCCACTTGGAGGTTTGTCTGTGTCCTCAGGGGTCACCTGAGTGATGCTCCTGGTTCCTGCAATCCCCCCACCTTCCCGGAAATCCATTCCTACTCCCACACTATTCCAAAGGTGTCCATTCCAAATTGTATAGTTAAAAAGTCTGTAGAGGTTCTCAAGTCATTCAGTTCATGATTGTCCCAGTGCTTCAGTGACCCCCCTAAAAGGATGCAAATGACCAGCTGTCTGCAAGGAGTATAAATCCTTCCATTCCCCGCCATCCAGTCCGAGCTGAAGAAGCTTCTTAGATGAGAAGCGAAACGCCTTCAAAAAAAACCCCAAGAAAAGTCCAGTTGCCTCTTGAAAAAGCACCTTTGGGACAGCTGTAAAAGCATGCAACTGACCTGTTTTAGTTATGGTCTAACTAAACCATAGTTAGTTAGACTAACTATGGTTAGTCTAACCATAGTTAGACTATGTTCGGGCTCCTTCACAGTCATACACCGAGGACTTTTTGTACATCTGTTTCCACTGGAGGGCTTGTTTCTCCTCCCCCAACTTCTATAAATGGGTTTGGGCTTTGGGGCACCGGATTTAAAATGGGGTTTGCTTGGGAAAGGAAAGGCTGTAATTCAGCTGAATGGCTTGTATGACTTCATCCCTCAAGGTTCCTGGAACGAGGTGTAAGGCCCAGACTCCCACTCAGAGGATAAGAATGAACTTTTGAAAACGGCATTTCAGAATGAATTCTTGATTGAAAAGACAGCCAGTCCACATTCAAAGCAGGATCTGATATCCTTCCAGGCATGCAGCTTAGATAAAGGGAGTTAGAACCCCTCCCCTTAGTCCGATGTGGATTTCATCAATACAGAGAAGCAACATTGTTAGGGATATACCCTAGCAGAATGTGCACAGCAGTCAGGCATTCAGGCGAATATGAGAGAAAGTGTTTTTTAGTTTACACACTCAGTAAAAACGGATACACTGTCTTAGTTGAATAGTTTATTCCATTAAGAGTTTAGCAGGGTCAAACAGTCCAAATATCATTCAGTCAGTTCAGTCCGGAGATTGTTCAATTGCAAAAATCCAGTGTCGAAAAAAAAGGTCAGTTAACTTACAATGTCAATCCATAAATCAGTCCAGTAAATATCTTCTCACAGTAGATTAGATATGCAGCATTCAAAAACTCTTTCCTCCTTCGACGTCAGCAACAGGGAACACGCAGAACAATCAACCATCAATCCAGTAGCAATCCAGGTTCTCTAGCTCCCTCTTATGGCAGTTTCTCAACCGCACCCAAATTATATCATTTAGAGTTTAAAGTGAAAAACACATTTAAACTTTGCTATCATGGTTTATATATTATTTACCCAAACAACGTTAGGTAACTATGGTTATTCCTAACAAACATGTTAATTCCCCCCGCCCCCCTTTTCCGGGAACGTAGTTGAGAACAGATTCCCAGGAATCTTCCTTTTGGAGCTGGAATTTTTATGGTCCCTTTTCCTCTTGCTATCTCTCCAAGAGGAGACAGGTTTCCAGGCATTGGGGGGGGCGGGGGGGCTCCAGTCCACAGTTGTAAATCGTGTAAAGGTCCTACAGATTCAGTACAAGAATTAGGATAGGCAGGTTACATCAAAAAGGATTACTTGTATCCACCCACCCCCCTCCTTCTTCTCCCATTGAAAAATGGCAGATACACGGATCTGACATGACGTCCTCCTAAGGCCTGACCTTCAGCGGATGAACCCCGTGAAACCGCCATGCGGAAACGTGGCTTATTCTTTGTTCCTTTCCCAGAGGGAAATCAGAAGAAAGAAACGCTTTGCCTCCAGCTCCTCTGTTGGCCCCAGAGGCTCCCAGTCGGCCCTGCTGGCCAGTGTGACGAATGGAGCCAGACGGCAGAGGGACGGGATGGGGAAGACGACCCTCAACCGGAGATTGATGGTGGCAGTCACGCCCTGGGCTGGGAACATGGTGCAGGAGTGGGCCCTCCGGATGAAGGAGGCGGCTTCCCGCAAGTCAAAAGGTACCTGCGATCCAAGCAGCAGCCGGTCTTGCTTTAAGGAAGCCTAGAAGGGCCAGTTTAGAGAGGATCTCATAAGGCCATCAAGTCCAATGCCCTCCGCGGTGCAGAAATCCCTGTGAAAATATCCCTGCAGGACACTTCTTGAGGATCTCGGGCTCCACTCTTGAACCGTGTTAGGAAGATGCCACTTGGGAGGGCAAGATAGCAATCGCCCTTAGACTTCTATACTGCTTCACCAGTGCTTGCCAGCCCTCTCTAAGCAGTTTACAGAGTCAGCCTCTTGCACCCAACAATCTGGGTCCTCATTTGACCCACCTGGGAATGGCAGGAAGCAGAAGGAGACTGCAGTACTGCATTCTAACCACTGTGCCACCATGGCTCAAGGAAGGAAGGGAAGGAAGGAAGGAAGGAAGGAATATGGATGGATGGAAGGAAACATGAAAGGGTGGAGTGAAGGAGGGAGGGATGAAGGAAGGAAGGAGAAATATGGATGGATGGAAGGAAACATGAAAAGGTGGAGCGAAGCAGGGAAGGATGAAGGAAGGAAGGAAGGAAGGAAGGAAGGAAGGAAGGAAGGAAGGAAGGAGAAATATGGATGGATGGAAGGAAACATGAAAAGGTGGAGGGAAGGATGAAGGAAGGAAGGAAGAAATATGGATGGATGGATGGAAGGAAACATGAAAGGGTGGAACGAAGGAGGGAGGGAGGGAGGAAGGAGGGAAGGAAGGAAGGAAGGAATAGCAATAGCACTTAGACTTATATACCGCTTCATAGTGCTTTATAGCCCTCTCTAAGAGGTTTACAGAATCGGCCTCTTGCCCTCGACAATCTGGGTCCTCATTTGACCCACCTGGGAATGACGGGGGGCTGAGTAAACCTTGAGCCTGGTGAGATTCAAACTGCCCAATTACAGGCAGCCGGCAGGAAGCAGAAGGAGCCTGCAGTACCGCATTCTAATCACTGTGCCACCGTGGCTCATAGGACGAGTAATAGTTGATTACGGGAAGGCAATTGCCTGTCAAAAGTTGAAAAAAACCTAAGAACATCCATTCAGAGGAAACCAACCTGGGTGATCCTCCCAAGATGGTTTCCTCATAATGAGAACCATAAATATGGGGAGAAAGGGCAGAGTGAACCATGGAGAAGGCTCATTTTAACTCATTATTCTGCAGCTGCGTCTCTTGGCCTTGACAACTTTAAGATGTATAAAGACTTGATGAGATGTTCAGGTGTTCCTTTCACCTTTCTTTTGCAGCCAGGGAGGGCAAAAATAGGAATTATGTCTAGTTCAATGGAGAGAAGGACTAAGGGGTAACATGATAGCTGTCTTCCAATATTTGAGGGGCTGTCACAAAGAAGAGGGGGTCAACCTGTTAACCAAAGCACCCCCGAAGCACAGCGAGGAAAAAGAACACAACGGGTTTGACACAGGGGTGGGATTCAAATTTTTAACAACCGGTTCTGTGGGCGTGGCTTATGTGGTGGGCGTGCCTTGGTGGTCATGTGACTGGGTGGACATGGCTTGGTGATCATGTGACGGGCTGGGCGTGGCCTACTCAACATCACTCACATCGAGGCACGCATGTCCTCGCCTGGCCTCTCATGACTGTGGGGATGCTGCAACAGTCGTAAGTGTGAAAAATGGTCATAAGTCACTTTTTTCAGTGCCATCGTAACTTTGAATGGTCACTCCACACAAGCAAAGTACCAGCAAAGGAGGGGAAAAAACCTCCAGAGAAGTTCCTGAGACAGGAAGTCTTGTCCTGCCAAGAATGTAATGAGGGTTAACGGAGAGGCAGTTTCTGTAAGCAACACCAGAATGTTGCCTTCCTGCCTTCCTTACAGGATTAGGCCAGTAATTCTAACAACCGGTTCTCCGAACTGCTTAGAATGTTAACAACCGGTTCTAGCAAATAGGTGCGAACTGGTAGAATCCCACCCCTGGTTTGAGACCCTCTTTCTCTTTCTTCTTCCAGCGGACATGATCTTCAGGCAGCTGCAGACGGGCCAGCTCACAAGCACACCTTTGTTCACGTTCCTGATTCAGGTGGGTGGCACTGGCCTGGTGAAGATCGCCAGCCCCATGCGCCTTTCCTAGGCTGCAGCCAAGTGGCCTCCAGTCAGGCGTCCTTGGGGAGACGGGGGGAACCGGTTGTTTCAGTCCAGGAGGGGGGGGGGAAGTCAAAGGGGTCCAGAGGAGCTCCATCCAGGTTTGCTGGGATCGTCCAGCCCAAGAATTTGTATCTTCCCACAACGGAGCCTCAGTTTCTACCCTGATCTTGGCTTATTTGGGGCATTTGGCACGTCTCTTTTTCAATCCAGATTCTCCCTTCCCAAATGCTGCAGGAAACCTTGGTTGAACTACAGATAGTTCTGTAGTTTGCTTAGCAATACCACCGGTCCTTACAGCAATCCTTACTGATAGCCAGTGGTGAGATTCTACTGGTTCGGCCCAGTTCATGTGAATCGGTAGTAAAAAAAAACAAAAAAAACAGCTACGAGTTCGGCCGAACCGCTATTTCTTTTTTTCCTTCCTCCCGACGATCAGCTGTTCCAATGATCAGCTGGGCCAGGATCCCCCTCGCTGTCTTACTGCTTCACCCAGAAGGTGTCCTTGAGGCCCCGGGGGCCAAAAATGGAGGGCGAGGGGGGTGCTGCACAAAAAAAGATCACGCCCACCTAGTCACATGATCACGGCCACTTAGCCGCTCCCATCTAGCCACACCCACAGAACCAGTAGTAAAAATATTTGTATCCCACCCCTGCAGATAGTCCTACCAGTCGCTTAGCAATCGTTTGAAATCCCAGTGGATCAACCCGGGGCTGTTTATGACCCAGATTCAAACTTATGGCAGTTGCCTCCCACCCCTCGCTCTGGTCGTGTGACCTTACTTCAGGCGCTCGGCCACCAAGCTTTGTTTAAGATTTTGTTTGCAGCTTCCCGTGGCCTCGTGTGACAATGGTTTTTACCAAAACCTGGTGTTTACTTCCAGTTTTCGGCAAAAAAAAAAAATGGTATCCATCGTGACCTCTTGGTTTGCTTAAAGACAGCCGTTTTCGTTAAATGGCCCTGGGTTCTGCCCCCGCAAGAAAAGGTTTTAAAATTGGATGGGTCATGCATCCGGCCTGTTTGGTGGCCAAGACGAGTTATGACTGAGTTGGACAGACTCCCTTAGGGTCATAAGCCCCTGTTTGTCAGCGCCCGCGAATAGAAAAGAATGGAATATGGAATATGGAATGGAACGGAACAGAACAGAATAGAATGAAGAAGAGTAGAGTAGAGTAGAGTAGAGTAGAGTAGAGTAGAGTAGAGCAGAGCAGAGCAGAGCAGAGCAGAGCAGAGCAGAGCAGAGCAGAACAGAACAGAACAGAACAGAATAGAATAGAATAGAATAGAATAGAATAGAATAGAATAGAATAGAGGAAGGGAAGGGAAGGGAAAGAAT